AAAGGTATAGTTTTGATCAAAGTGCAAAGGGTTGAAATCAAAGATAAAGCAACTACTTTCTAAGTACAAAATACTTGATTGGCTTGATGAGGAAAATTTGTTTTGGTGGATAATTGCTATATTGCTTTTCTATTTCATATCCACTCTAAGAAAAATGGTCTCTGAATGACAAAAATAAACAGTTTTTCAAAGGTTTCTATTACTGAGAACATAACATGCTGAAGGAGGGCAGACTTTTCCTTCTCATGAATTGGACTGACATTTATCATGCAGTCAGATATATTGCAGTTGTTAGATATGAGGCCTAAGGTCTAAAAACACATTATTCCTATACTTTGTTATTATCATATAACTTTATTAAACACAGTGTGGTGATTGATGACAAACCAGGTCAATTGCTCTGACATTATTCCTCCAAATGAAAATAATCTAAATGTTCCACAAATTTAGATTTTTTTTTCCTGTTTGCTATTTTTCTTTCTGAGAGGCAAAGATACACTCACAGTCCCCTCTCCTTAACCTAGAAAGCTGCTCAGTTGCAATATCCTCGGAGAAATAGTAACAGATTTTCATATGGGAATGATCTGACACTTCCATTTACCTGGAGACTTCACAAGGATTAGATGAGTAGATAGAAACAGAATTAGGAGCTGGATCCTGCAAGTCACTTACGAGCATGCTCAGATTTCTTCACATGAGCAGTCCCAACAGCCTAGCTCACACCCATTCCTCCATCCTATCCCCTTTCCACTATTCCTCAGGATACATCCCTAAACTGAAACTGAAAGGAACAGGGCACCCGACCTTTCAAGTATGCAGCCTCCTACCTCTACTACTCATGGAAGGAGAATGGCCCTTCCTGTGCAATGTCTGTGGGAAACCAATTAATCTTTGATTAATGGATAGGATTACTCATGTATGTGATTAGTCACATCAGAGTTTTCATGATCAGGCCTTAACTTCTGTTGTTTCTTCCCCCATACACTTGATGATGTGACGAGTTGTTCTCTGGAGAAGGAGAACCTTAGGAAATGCAGAGCAGAAGGTGACATTTCAGAACTCACAGCAGGAGAATTTTACTCATTCTGGGACTAGTGCGTTTTGTATGTGTAGGCATTATTATTAATTGAACACTTGTTTATGTCTCTAAAAATAATTTAAAATACTTTGATTTCAAAATGCAGTCTGGGTATGACTTCAATTACTAGTCAGAAAGCATTTAAGAGGGCCTGATGCACTTCTACAGAGAGTAGGAGGAAATTATGTTTACCACCCCCTTTTAAAGCTGATCTGCAAAATGCTGTCCTTGTAAATGTCTCCCAGGAACAGATTTAGAGTGAGGATGGTATATTTTCAAGCCTTGTTTTTCTCTTCTTTTCCAGCCAAATGCTGCTTTTGTTTTCTTTTCTACTTCTACCTTCCTTCTTAAAGCATGATTATTAACCACTAAAACAACCAAAACACGTGCTAAGTGCAAATATCTAGAAGCATTTAGATATTGATTTTGATTCAAAGAATATATTATTTAAGACTGTCATTTGAGAATAAAAAATTAGACTACTGCTAATAAAGTGGTGAAGAGATGCACCATCCAAATTACAGTATCCTGCCTCACCTGATGTGTCAGCCTATTAAATATGCTCATGTTCCTTTTCTTGAATCAAGCTCAAGTCAGCTGATTGAAGAGGGATTTAAGCAAAGGAAAGGGGAAGTTCTTCCCTGACCTTCGAGTAATTGCAGCAAAGTGTTTTGCTGCTACACAGTTTTGCAAATCCAGGATCATTGAATATCCTTCCTCCTTTGCTTTGGAAAGGGTTCTCCATTTCCCTGCTTAGCTGCACTGGACTCCTGAAGGCCCAGCCGTGGAGCAAAAAGGAAGAGAATATCCCATGAGTCATTTCACCAGCCTGCTTTTTCCTCTGTAAGGTAGGGTGGCACAAGATGAGGAAAGAGGATCCCTCAATGGTCAAAGGCTCCAGTTTTTACACTGATAAACCCTGCAGGTTCACTGGAGTGAGTTCACTTGGGCTTCCCAAGACAGAAGGAGGTTCAATACTTTGCAGTGAATTTTCCAGGTCTTTGACCACTGATTATTACAAGCCTCATTAAACCCTATTCCTTGGGAAAACAAAGTATTGAATAGGCACCTGTTACTTCGTTACTGCACATAGTATCAATGCATTTCTTTACTCTTTCAGGGTGTGAGTTCACACTGAGCAAAAAAGACCAGTGACTGCTCTATACATATGCAGAATACCTCACAACATGCAATATTATAAAGACAAGACTTTTATATTGCCTTTTTCCAAATGACTTGAGGGTATCTTTTTACCGTTTAATACACTGGAGTGCACTGGCATCCTCACTGGACAAAAATGACTAATCAGGGATTAGGAGCAGCACAGCTACTCCATGTTAGCACTGAGCCTGCTGAGCATCTGGGTCCATCAGGCCAGGCAACAGAGCTGTGCTGCTTTGAGCTGCTTTGAACAAAGTGAGCATTCTGGAGAGCTCCTTGTTAGGGTGAATGTCAGAATCACTGCACTGTAACCCACAATGGGCTGGGGATGTACCCAAACCAAATGGCCTTGTTTTGCGGCTTGGATAAAAAACAGAGAGTGAAATGTGGTCTAAAATTAGTCAGGGATCCCTGAAAATTTTTGTGCATCTTCCTTTAGGATGTTGTTGGCTGGGGAACCTCATGGCCTGAGTGAACCGTTGATGGCATCAAGGCAGCACAGCTGTTTACCATCATAGAGAAAGAGGAAGTGCACAACAGTGAAATGTCCAGTTCCCAAATAGACTTAAAATATACCAAACACCCAGTGTAAGCAACTGTCACCAAGTGCTACATGAATGTATGGGGTACTGTGGTTTGGAAGAGGAAGTGGTGGATGTTAGAGGGTCCATGGGAGTCTTTCAATAAAGCTACTGCTTGTACTTTCATCACTCCTTGTTTCTATGGTACTAGATTTGACACAGCTGTTGCTTGCATGGCTTTCCTTTGGAGAGTCAGAAAATCCTAAAGCTGTCATTTAGTGAGTGATACTCTTCTATAAACTATCTGGACTTCTATAAACATTGCTGACTCTATGAAGGGCATCATTAATCTTATCTTCCAGGGAACATCTCTAATCACAGCTCTACCCGCCCATGTCAATCTAGGACACATCCAAGCCTTAGAAATAGCAGTGGAAAAATCATAAAATGTTCTAACACATGGAGTTGGCAGACAAGTGCCAGACAAGATCACAAACTGTGCAAAATGAACAGTTTGCAAGTGAATGTGCTTCCCTCTTTCCCCTGTCCAAGTGCTGGCTGAGTATCCTATGATGATTTCAAATTAATGCACTAGCCCTTTTTTTTCCTTCTACATGAATTTCCCTTTAATCAGAGCTGCCTAGTTGACAGTAACACAATTACATGTGCTGGAACATCTCTGGTTCCATGACCAAAGTTGGAAAGTTTAACAGCAAACTGTTGCTGAATTCATAATGCAAATTAAGAGACCAAAGTGGTCTCTTAATTTGCATTATGAATTCAGCAACAGTTTTCCAGTTAAAACAGGATGATGTTAGAATGGATGTTGTCTGCTGTGCAACAACGGCAAGACCTAATTACAAACTCTTTAAGCAATTAGTAAATAAGGTCAGAAAGAAGAGCTGGATGCTTCTGTTCACCATTATCTTAATTGAACTCACAATTCAGGGAACAAATCATGAATGCCAAAGAAATTGTTTTCTTTATTTCCAGGCTGGACTTAATACATGTCTCCCTTAAAAAAGGTTATCTATCTATTGCACTACAATCACACTGCAAAATGTGAGTTTGTGGTAAGTTCATGTATCATTTTATTCCAGAGATACCTGGAATGGATTTTTTTTTGTTAAGGATTTTGAGGTGTGGTTCTGTAATTTGGCTTACTTCCAGAAGAAGAAAAAAGACCGGTGCTGCCTGGTAGACCACACAGGTAAGACGTAATACAGGCTCTTCCTGTACCTAAATATGTAACCTAGGAACACCAGCATGAACTGTCTGGCTGAATACAGAAGTACTTCATCCTCAGGAAAGGCAAACATATGGCACAGGCAACATTCCAGGTAAGCAGACTCACACAAACAAGATGATAAATATATGGCTGATGCTGATTGTCTTCGCTGTTAGCTATTATTTATGGAGCAACCTTGAAGTGTGATGGAATATAAGATATGAAACTCTTTATTGCAGCAGCGGCTAGAACCTCAAGGGCATGTCCATGTTTTTACCCCAGCATTAGTTCACATTCTCTGCCATGTACCAGCCTGGATAACTTTTCAGCTGTTCATGTACCAATGAGATTACCACTCCTCAAGCAGTCTTACTGCTTTGTATTCAGGTTATCATAATTGTCAAGGTATGGGTTTAGAGTTTTAAAATCCATATTTTGGTTTGGGGTTTGTTGGATTTTTTTTTTTTTTTTGAGGGGGAATGTATAGTGGTGGGCATTTTACAGGTGGAAGCTTTTCAAAGGTTGAGATTTGACACTTTTTTCTGAAGCTCTTTGCATGCATTTCAAGATATCCTCATTCTCATCACACACGTTTCAAGATCCAGGTGCTTCAGAACATAGCCTGCCCAACTGATACCTTATAAATTGCAAAGTGATTCCTGATGGGGTAGCAAACTCAAAAGAAATTAATTTAAAAACTTGCACCAAAATCTAGCCCATTCTTCAATAAAATTTTGTTCAAAAGTTTTGTGAGGGCATCTTTCATTATACATTCAAATTTGATGATAATTTGTAATGATTGCTCAAAATTAACACTTCCTTCTGCTATCAGAGAGAAGATACCTACTTAGAGAAAATTTCTTAGCATATCCATACAGTCTTGCATTCATGTTCAGTGTCACTGAAGCCAATTCCCAATGTATGTATTTAGTAATTATGTTTAATATGCAACCATGTGAACAGATTAGTGACTTCTTACCGAAATTAAAATAACAGCAGGGAAGCAAAAAAGTAGAAGTATAGATTTATTAGAGAAGTTATCTAAAATACAATATTATTTTCCTTTTTAAATTAGAACATATATTATTTCAATGAAAAGATATTTTGTATTATTTCTATGGTAATAACTTTTAAAGAAAACATTTAATTTAGAACATTTTTAATTAAAAAACCCAACACTACCATTAAGACGTAACTAAGGCTGTTGACAGCACGGGTAAAAATGCAAAATAGTCTCAAAAATATTTACATGTCAGTTTCTTAAAATCTAAGTAGTCTAATTCTAAATATTCATTTTGCTTAACTTTCTCAAAATACATTTTTCTCTAAATTATAGCTAGATTCTGTATTCCTGCGCTTCTTACAAAGCTTCAAGTTATCGTTAGTTACGTGTACTATCACACCAGTAGATGAGGTTTCTTAAAATGGCTTATTTTGCTACCACCATATCCTCTCCCAAGTGGCCAACTTACTGTTATACCAAAGTGTCAGTCGCAGTAATAGTCACCAAAATGCACACAGCCACCCACCCCCTGCCTCCCCCAACCCCACACCTTAAGAACCCTTTCCCATTCAGCCAAGAGCCTTTCACGTTTCAATAGCTGGCATTTCAGACGCAGAGCAAAAGAAAGTAAATGGATCTGGGAGACAAGATGTTGCCTGGGCACACACGGCAAAGTTTGATTTGGGCTTAGCAAAAGGGGCTCCTCACGAACACAGCAATTCCTAACACTCTCAGCACTGAGGTTACTGGAAGGAGGCTCTGACTTCTCTGCTCTTCAAAGGCTGACACGGGCGCCAGTTGTCCACCATATGGCACACGGGCTCATTCTCAGCGTTGAAGCAAAGGCCACGGAGTTTGCACATCTGTGGGAAAAGGCACAAATATCCTCAAATGCATCCTCCCATCTCAGCAGGACTTGTTGAAACTACACATCTTGGGCCTGAACCAGAGCTCTGACCCAAAGTTTTGACAGTGCTAGTAGCCTAGAGATGGCATCAGCACCTACGGGTCTGCATTTCGCCCACACCATTTCCAGCCTTGACATAGCCTCTCCTGTCCACAAAATATCTTGGCAAGCACTTTGAATGCACAAAAAACAAAGACATAGACACACATTTTCTGAACTCTGCAAGCAGAGAGCTGTTTGTCCTTGATCCAGATATGAATTGAATCCCTTTCAGAATCCTCTGCAAGTTATACAGTTTTGGCTGTTTTTTTTAAGTCCACTTGAAATAATAACAATTAAAAATGGCTTTATCCTTGGGTCAAAATAAAGCTGTTGAATGAATTCAAATTATCCTGATTTTCAAATGCTGTGAGGGGAAAACTGCTTCACATCAACAGCAGCATAGTGTATAGTTATGGTACTTGTTCCTAAAGTACAACTGGTGTTTTCACAATCTGATGTAAAAAAAGCACCTTTGTGTGTAAATAGGGATGTCCAAAACTCACAAAAAGATTGTGCCAAAATAATAACCCACCCCAAACATAGTCTCACACAGACAGGTAGAAGTGCTGATGAATGTATGTAGGTGGGACATAGGATTTCCTACAAATCAGGTCCTAGACCAGGTTTTTCCACATTCAAGGAAAAAAGGCCTCAGCAGTGACCTGTGTCTTCTGGACTTCACCTTCAGGACCAACCAGAACAAAGTTCAGAGCTGAACCTCTGACAGGAACTGCTGCATCACAACAAGCGACAGCAGGCTTGCTATACCCTACTCTTATATTCAGCTTCTTTTCAGCTTTGGAAAACCTAACCACCTTAAACCTTGAATCAATACTCATATATATGGCTTCTTGTTTTGATCAGTATGGGAATGAAAAAGTAAACTGCCACACAGTGTGGAAATATTGATGATAACATGGAGGGATGTGTAAGGGAGAAATAAGTGGTACCTTTTACCACTTGTAGGTGGTTGGAGTAGGTAGAGTAGGAAAAAACCCACTATTTTGGTGGGTGTGCTCCTGCCTTATAATAAAACCATATTTGCAAACTTTGGATTATCAATAGTAATAGGAAGAGTTTGGAGTAGCGTCAACTTTAATGCTCCCTTGCAGTTTACTAAAGACAAAAATTAAAATCAATTATTGCTATAGTTATTACTTCCAATAGATCTTCCTCATCACATATTCTATGGGTCTTGCCTGCTTCTAAAACTTCTCAGTTGCATTTTCTTTCCTATCAGAAACTCTCTAGAATTAGGTCCAGGTTGTTAGCATTTCTACCATCAATAAAAGATACTTAGGAATTTGAAGGTTAAAGCCCTTCAGGGCTGTTTTGTATTTACAGGCTCTAGATTCTATTTAAATCTCTCAAGCACACAGATCTGAACCCAAAAATGGAATCTTAATTTCATTAATGGATAGTACAGAAAGCTGTGGCCAAGAGTGGTTTAATCTGCACAAGCTTCTTCCTGCTAGGAAGACTATCATTCTCAGGCTGGTCAAAAGAGTATTTTCTTAGGCAGCAGACTTCTGGAATCTGCAAATTTTGCCTCTTCCAAACAATGGGAGCTTTGTTAGAATCATCACAAAGCTGCGTAGGATTTCCCAGTCTGTTCTGTGACAAATAACTTGCAAAAAGAGCTCAGTGTCCTGGAAATGCTGGAAAATCAAAGGACCAACTACAGCTGTACTGTACTCTCTACAGCTACTACTCACAGTGTGAGACTGTGGATGCAGCACACATGGCCCCCAGGTGCTTTGTAAACCTGGCCTTTTCAGGGCAAGCAGACCCAGAGAGGTAATTGCATGTACAGCAAACCTGCTGATGCTCACAATACATGCTGGAATAACTCTGCATGTGCAAATGGTCCTTTCATGCATGCCTCAATTTTCCAGATTTTTACCACATGACAGCTCTAACCATGTATCCGGAAAATATCTGATAATTTTTTTCAAATTCCCCCCATCTTCCCTGGAGTGCCCAAATAAAAGACAGCCTTACATTTTACAGCAAACTACATCCACAGGCAGAAGCAGAGTCCTGTCAGGATTACCACTTCAGACAGACATTTTTGACATGTGATGCTAGCTAATACCCTGCACAGCTCTGCACTAACACTGCCACTTCAAAGATCATCTGGTGGGATGAACTGAAGCCATGAGTGCAACTCCAGTACACATCTACAGGCACCATCCAATGGAAACCTACCTGCTCAGAGCTCACAGTGATGGGCTCCTTCAGAACGTGCCAGATCACACATTCAAGCAGTGGTGGAGTTGTCAGTGAGCCAGGGTATGTCCAGTAGTCTCTGCATGCAGGAAGGAGTCCAGTGGGGTCAAAATTTGTAAAGGAAGCTTGCTTTCCCTACAATAAAAGAAGCAGATGGGCTGATGTCAGCGAGAGAGCATATGCACACACTAGGATTGCAGTAGTGAAGTCTCCTAGGAAAGCTCCATGGTTGTAGAAAGGCAAAAATGGAATTTGGCATCAAGTGTTGCATGCCAACTATAGTGCCTTTGGAATTAAATACTCTCAGCAATAATTTTCTTACAAGATTTTCGAGATATTGCCTCTCATATCAAATGCTGCATTTATGTTCCTTAGTCTTAGAGATAAGATTTAACCTTGCCTGAAAAACAATGAGAATTCAGATGCCTTTTACACTAATTGCAATAGAAACACAGAACCTGTGAGACCTGTTGGAGAGTCCATTGCAGTAAGCAGCACATCCCTTTACCACAAAGGGCACCTCATGAGAAAGATGACAGTATAGTCTCATTCTTGTCTTTCCTGTCCACATTTCTCATTGGCCTTTACCCACTATGAAGGTGCCTAATTACTCACTAAGTACTTTTAGTTTCTCATTACTCAGCACACTAAAATCACACACACTGCACACAATATTTAAGACACAGGAAGAGTTTTTCCCCCTTAATTATATGTACTGATCAAACTGTTTATCTGAACTCTCTCTAGAAACAGCCAAGAGAACATGCCCTCCTGGAAATAGGAAATTTAACTCACAGATGCACAGAGGGGAAATGCCTTTTCCATCTGCTACCACAGATGAGAAAGGGCACCTGTAGTTTAGATTAGGAAGATGAATCCTATCCTATATGCTTAAATACAGTTAAAAGACAGAGAAATGTAGTCACAAAGATAGGAAATAATCACTGTTTCTAGTATTCCATGCTCTCTACGTCAACTTCATTCCAATCTGTTTTGCTTTTAGAATTATAGGAGCACCTCTGCTGATAGCAGGAAGTTTGTTTTACTTTCATACATGCAGAAGGCTGGGAAGAAGTATAAAACTGTACTTTCCAAAGAGGATGACTTAGCACAGTTGTGATGGGTGTCCATGAACACAGCAAGTATTACCTTGGTTTGAATGGAGCTCAGAGCATCCACAACCTTCTGCATCTCAGGCTTGGCATTTCCCACCTGTAACACAAACCATAAGAAAATAAAAATCACCATGCATTCTCACAACACCTTTTGTTTTCTGTTACAGCTCTCAGGGAAACTTTTTTTTTTCAACTGCATTTCATTACATAATAGGAGTATTACAGTGTAAGTGACTTAAACAGGCTCTGTAAAATCATGCCAGTTGACAGTGAGCACAAACGGGTCAGCCAAGGACATTGGACACAATGAAGCTATTTTCATTTACAGTGTGTGGATTTATTTTTGGACCTAAGCTGTTCTTCTTTTATGGAAGTCACCCTCCCAATAAAATAGTCACCCTCAGTGAGGCCAGGATGGAATACTACGTACTGCTGGAGCAGACATCTCTGCAAGCTAGCTGTCAAGACAATTCAACTAACACAAAACACAAAACACTCTGGCATTTAACAATGACATGAAAAGGAAAATAGGTGTTATTTAGGCTGGTCACAATGCAGATGCACACACACAACTTGGTCAGTTATGCACATTACCTTTCACTGGTAAGGCAGCATCACTGTCTTGATGAAGGCAAGAATGCTGCTACAGGGCTGCCACAGTGATGGATGGCAGTCACACTCCATGGCCAGGGTACAATTTTTATAGATAAAGGAAGGTAACAATTTGGAGCACCACCTAGTTTGATATGGATTTGGGCAGTAGAGCACAATGCTGCCTTATTCTCTCTTTTCTGCTCTTAGGCTCTCCTCACAACACAATGAATTTGCTGGACAAATAATAAAAAAGTAAAAGTTTCACAAACCTTCATGAAGATGCCCACCACCGCTAAACCATCAGGATGCTTCACAGCTTCAGCAAATTTACCATATTTTACATTCCAGTGAACAATATGGAGCTGGGAGCAAGAAAAAAAAGAAGTACTGTGAAGATGATATTCCATCCAGAATACTTCACAAATAAAGATGCAAGGAAGTAATGTATTAAGAGCAAGATGGTGTTTTACTGCTGAGGTTGGAAAGCTTTTGTGTACAGTTAAGAACTTGTTTAATTATTTATCTACTTTAAAGTTTCATTTATTCAAAGAGATTTCTGTAATGTGTTTTATTTTGCTCCTCACTCCTAGTCTCTGGTGAGTTTTAAAGGCAAACTGTGGCTGTATCATTCTGCTTTTCATGTGGTGAAACTCCTGTTATCTTCAGCATAAGTTTTTCCCACATACAGCCCACAGGATTTCAAAGTAGTATTTTAATGCTGTATATCCTGGAGTTCTGAGCACACTGACATACATTGCCAGTGTCAGAAGAAGCAGAGAAAACACATTAACTACAGATTTGACTCACAATTTGGAAGGTTTTTTTTTTTAAAAAAAAGCCAGTCCTGCCCTTTACTGGAAAGGCTTGGAAAAGAATATGAAATTAATCTCCAGATCATGTTAGCCAGGATGTTACTTTCTTTTTAATTTCCAAGTTATTTCTAATTTAAGTTCATCAGGCTGTTTCCCCACATCTGCAAGTCAAGTTGAACAAGTAATTATGGTACTGTGAAAGACAGAATGTAATTGAAGTATCTCAGATAAGACAAAAGCTACTTCCCTCATCAAAAAGCAGCAGAGCCAATAAATTTGTGGAGCAGTTTCTTTTATCTGTGAATGCAAATCACAGATACTTTCCACAAATATGTATTTATGAATATATTTTAGAAGTCAGTCACAGAAACCAGAGGTAGATTTCTAAAGAGGGGATGAGGAAAGGTGAGATGCAAGGCCCTAAAGTCATTCAGTTTCTGTATCAGACTGTAATATGGAGTCTTAAATGGTCTGAGGGACACCTGGAGTCTCAAGGGATCACAAAGAGTGCCAGACAGTAAGATTGCACTTTACTGTCTGCCCTCTTCATAACTTTCCTTAATTCTTTGCTACCAAAGTATGAAAATATCTGTCCCAAAATTATTCTACTGCTTTTATAAAGACCTCTGATGTTAAAAACTGAAGCTAGGAAAAGGGGATGTGCATGTACAGATGTGCTGTAATTCTCTTTTTTCATAATTTCCGAGAGTCATAGAGAAAGCAGGGAAAAATAGAGGTATTATCAATGTGGGGTTTTCTGTTTCTCTTTGACATGAAGTAGCTGAGAAAAATTACAAGCCTAATGTCCTGCTCTTGCAAGGACTATGTTCTAAGGTGACATCATACCAAAATTGTCTATGCTAACCTTCTCCTGTGAGGATCTGTAGTGAAAGTGCTACTGTGGTGGAATACTTAAAAAAATCAAACCTCATTACACAAAGAAGACTGGAGAAGGTAAAGCCTACCTCTGCATCATACTTCACACCATCCACAGTGTGCTCAGATCCCTGGCCATCACAGGATCCCCAGTGAATGTGAAACTGCACCAGCCTGTAGACTCCATCCAGTGCTCCTCCTTGCACCACTGCAAAATAAAGCAAAAATCACATAATTTTTGTTATCAAGTCTCCCTTCAAACTGAAACAACTATCTCAAGTCTTTTATGTGATTTACAGTTCACTGCATGCTGCCATGCTACTCCATATCATCCTCAATGGTACATTACTGCAATACACCAAAATTGATAATAAATGCAAAAAAACGTAAGTGACTTTACAGTGAGCATCTCATCAGCAATTTAACAGGCATGCTGGTATTACAAGTGATGAAGGAAGATGTAACTTTTCTGTCACCAATAGATTTAAAAAGCCCTTTGTAAGAGGCCCATATAGAATCATCCTAAGGAAGTACATTTGAAGACTGAATCATCTTCCATGTACAAATGGTAGTCTGTTCTTTCATTTTAGATACTTCATCCATTTAGGCCTTAATCCTGCAAATCCTGTAGCAGACTGGATTGAGTAAAATGATTTTGGTTCCAATTTAAACCTGAACACCTGTTAGCCATGGGTTAGCCTTCTTGCCGCAAGGTAAAGCACTAGGCACAGGACAAGACAGTGCAGAGATGTGAATTCAAATCTCTTGTCCTCGCCATTGTGGTAAAGGCAATGCTTACACAGATGGACCTTTTGGAAATGAGTTATTTCCGCTCTCCTTTATCTGGCATTGCTTGTGCTATGGGACTGCTCTGAGTGAAGCTCCCAGACACACTTTGAATTATACAAGAGCAAGCTCCCTTATTCTGCTTGTTAGTTTTACCCTTCTACTCCAGTTGTGACCAATCACCATTATGATTTGCAGGATCAAGCCCTACCATTGCAAAATGCAGAGGGCACAGACAATGTCTCCTCCAGTGCAGCATAAAGCACAGAATAATAACAAATAGTTCTATTAAATAGAGGTATTTATCTAAGTTATCAGAGAAAGGTTTCACACCAGTTTATGTTTTGGTTGGGGATTTTTTCATTTTTTCCCCCAAGCATCTCAAATCCAAATTCAAAATTAAATCTTTAAGTTGTTATTTAAAAATTTAAAAACAAAAAGTAATTTGAAGTGTTAGGTATTTTAACGGACCAATTTCTCTCTATAAATACCTATATACAATAAAGTGACAGAAGAGTGCTGACATCAGATATTACAGGTAAGTGTGCTCTGTGTATGTGCAAAAAAATGATTCTGAGGAGTAAAGATGCTTTCCTCTCAGTCTGCAATTAGTCTAGACACTAGCACAATACGTGCATGTGTGAAAACATGTATCAAATGCTGACTGGGAAACGAGGCTGCAGGTTTGAAAAAGTCCCATTATACACAAGCATGGACAATACTAGCCATAAATACCAACAATCAGGTGAGAAAGATTTCACAAAAAATTTGCAACACATGAAATTGAAGTAAGATTTCTTAAAAATATGTTCATTTCCACCAGTGTTCCCTATGCATGCAAAATTTGGGTTCAGTGGACAAATCTAGAATTTGCCAAGGGCTCCTTTGGTAAATATATTTAGAAGTCTCCCAACATGTATCTTTATTTGAAAAACATGAATAGATGTTCCACTGCAACCTATGTAATTTCCAAAACTGTAGCCAACAGAAGAGGACTTGCCCTACCTATTTCCAAGCTATGTGATCCAAAGAAGAATGTCTACTTAAAGTAATCAAAAAGGAACTTAACTTATTCTACTTTTACATTTCTGCATGCGCTAGTTTCCAAGAAGCATAACTGTTTCAAGCACAGGGCTACAAATCTGAGTACTTGTTTCAGAACAACAGCTGTAGAAGGATATTAGATCTTTTTGGAAATGAAGGAACTGGTTACTGTGTCTTTACAGAAACAAAATCATTTAATGTATACAATTTTAAAATGATGCCATGGAGTTACAGTGTTTCAGTTCCTTTAGCTCAGAGTCTTGCCGGTTGTTGCCGGTACAAATGGACTGAGGTTCCATCACTCCTTGACCTCAGAAAGCACTAGCGCAGCACAGGTTAATCTGCCATTATTAATCAATGGAAAGCATGCTGAAATGCAGAACCATGCAATGTTCTTGAGTTCATTTGCAGTGTTATTTCTCCACACAAATTTTGCTATAGTCTCAAAACCTCAAAAGATGCAGAAAAATCTCTTTGCAGTTTTTGCTTACTTTTCTCATTCTGTGGTTCTCAAATCCAGCACTAGCTTATTTTGACTCACAGCAGGGCATTCAAAGAAAGTAACAATTAGATTAGTGTGAATGAATACAAATCCAGCACTCTTAATTACAGAATGGCCCTCTTGTTCTAGCCTATGTTAAGCAGTTATTTTTTTTTTAACACTTCTCAGTGTTCCCAAGAAAGCAAAACTAAACTTAAAAGGCAAAGTAGGAATGATGGAACTGCTTTTTTCTTCAGAGCAAGCTTTTCAAACCATAGACAAATGCTACCACCTTTTGCAATATAAAAGTCCACAGAGAATCAGAACAACATTGATACCAGCAACTTCCCTGTCTTTGTTCCATCTGACAGGAATATCAATGCGAGGCCATGTTGAAAAAAGTCCAACCTTTCCATCCCTTTTTTAAAAAGGAATGGGGAAGTTCTGATCCGTATTGGAGAATGTCATCATTAGCTCCCTTACTTTTGAAATCAGTATTAGTGAAAACCGTCCTGAAAATACCTAGGTAGCTGTGATCTTTTCTGTTTTATAGTACAGCTTCAGATGCAACACTGTCTGAAAACAGCACAAGAGGAGCTGAAAAAACATTATTTTCTCACAGATCCCATTTACTCAAGACAATTATCATAACCTGGTCTTGTGTTATAGCCCAAGAGGTGACTGTTTGACAATGCCCGTTCTTCTTTTCCACTATTAGACACTTATTAGACAAATCTGGAGCTATTTTCCTTAGATTAGGAAAAAGGTTTTTTTTCATTACCATTCTATCTTCTACCCTTTACTGGAAAAGTTATACTAGCAACATCCAGTAATTACTGGACATTTCATAACATTTCACTGTTAAATGTTCTCGTAACTTGGTCTAAATTAGGTGAACACAGTATTAGAAGCACTAATTCAGGAGGTCAAATAAGCACCCAAACTCTTCCATTTATGTGACTCATACCAACTGTGGGATAGAGAAGGTGAAGTTTATTTGACTCCATTACACTTTCTTGGGATATTTGAAAACACACAGAAATCAAAGGGTGTTTTGCTGCATCTGGTACAGCTGTTTACTGAGGCTTCACACCTTCACTGTTCTATTTAAAGGAAAGTTGGTGAACAGTTATCCTTCCAATGTAAAGCAGAACAGCCTTGTAAAAAAATGCTGTCAACCACTTCATGCCTTTTTTAAGGAAGTGGCAGCATCCACATCTAAATTTCTGTAGGAATACTGCAGGAATTCCAGTTATTTAGTTAACTCCTATGGAATGTTCTCTTCATACAGAGCAGAAGACTAATACACCTCATAAAGCCAATAAACATGTCAAAGGATTAATAAAAATGGAGGAAGTACAAGACTGTTTAAAAAGGTAGACTGAATTCCTTCATGTCATACAAATTAGTGTGACAAGAAAAAATAGTACTGTAAAGTTTGTCAGTCTGAGAAAAATGCAGAATGAGAAAATGGTCTACAAATGAGAATCACTGACTGCAAAGCTCCTTCCAGCAGCTGAAATAATGGGTTCACTAGAGCACAGTAGATGTCCAAAAGATCCAGACTTGGAGAATTAATTCTAATTGAGACTCTACCAAACAAAAACCCAGCAGCAGGGAATTTCAAGCATCTACCTTTGAGCACAGCCCTCTTACACACACACTGCTTTAGCACAAAGAAAACCATGATTTTGTATCAGCCTGCAGTAGGTGTGATGTCTAAATAATATTCTAGGCATATGTTTATGTTAATATATGCATAGTATATACATTAGTGCTAATATTTGGTAAGCTTTCGTGTGTACACAGACAACTGTACAGTGGAAAACAGGACAAAAAGACAAAGCAGATGAAGCATTACTTGAGGCAAGAAAAAAACCTACTTGAGCACCATGTACTATTAATGACATGAAAAAGGCTCTTATGAGGATGCTCAGGAATTAGCCTTGTGTTCTTATGCAAGGATGGGCTTCCCATCTGACAGACTAGAGTTCGGTTAGGGTGAGCTGCCACTTCTGTGAAACATGGAGTACAGAGAGTCACATTTTGTGAGATGTTTCCTTCTTTATGTTATCTCTTTCAGACATTCCTCCTAGGACATTGTATCATGACAAGCAACAAGAGCAAGACAGCACCGAAGCATCTGACTATAGGGCTCATATTTGCAGAAAACATCTGTAATGGGTTTCCCTATGAGAAAAAAAAGGTATATCATAAGGAAAAAAACCAAAACAAACCTACTTCTGACCTTCCTAGAAACTTAGCCTGATAAGGCTATAAGGATGTTCCACAGAGATAGACCAGAATAAAACAGTTGCCAAAACACAGCAAGTCCTGAAGACGTGTGTATCTGCAGCAGGTCAGCAGTTCCAATTCACCTCAGTTGAACTATTTCACCCAGACTGAGCAGCAGCCAGGAAGACTCTGACCTGCTTCAGGATACAAAGTAATTTAGGTTCTTAACATTCCTCCAACTCCCTGGGACCAGCAGACCTCATTCCTCATGTATTCTCTTAAATAAAAATTCTCTGAGAATCATAAGATGCTGTTCTGAGTCTCTGACCAGCGTTCTGCCCTCACATTTCACACTATATAGCCTTACAACAACTTTGAGAACCAAGCTGGAAGAATTAAAATTCTCATCAAAGTATCAACTGATTTAATTTCTAATGTAATACCTAAATACTAATGCAGTGGCTGCTCATTGTACTGAAAATTGTGTACTGGACAGTGTTCATACTACCCTCAGATCTAATGAAGGACTAGCAAACTCAAGGTGTGAGCATTGCCTCTAAGTATGCAGCAGTCCCTCATGCCTGTAAGTAAATAAACAAATTATCAGCTGAGAAGAGTGGTAATCGTGACATCTGGCACACAGCTTCATTACAGCTTAAAAATAAACTTTTCCAAGTGGCCCCAGCTGATAACAGCTGACTAGTTTATCCTGGTTTTGCATTAAAAGCGCCTCTAGAGGAGGGATTAGCAAAAGGAAAGGAAGGAAGTTTCCATAATGGTTAAATTCACAATCCAAGTCAAATGTCTGCTCAGAAATTGCATGTTAATATTAAAAAAAAACCCAAACAAACCTCCCCACCCCGAACAAACCAACCCCACCCCAGTGTAAACGAAGAAGGACACTTCTCTGTAAAGAAATGAAGACCTGAAACATGCAGGACTAATCTCATGCCCCCTCATCTTCTTTCCAGTTCCTGGAAATACTGGAACTATTCAAGTTACTTGTTTGTACAGACTTCGCAGCTTCTGCTGATCGCAATTCACAGGGAAAATGGCTTAAAGATCACATGCCCTTGAAACCTCTGACTTTTTAGCCAAGCCATGCACAACATTACTTGTGACATAAGCAGGTGTCTGAATACAGTCCCCTAAATCTATAATCAGTCAGTTCTCTGATTCCAAAGGATCAACACATTCATTGCTTAAGCAATGTGGACCTTCAATGCATGACCCTATACTGATGACATGCAATATTATTCTGGCATGGTTAATATTGTATCTTTAGATCTGGGAAGCCTAAAAATAAACCAGTAGCAGTGACTTTGATTTAGAGCTGTTCCTTAAAGACAGCAGACCTACATGCTTCTTCTTTCGTTTACCAACTGAAGTGGAAGTGTAGAAGAGCAACAATGATATTATTTTCAAAGAAACTCACTGCCAACTGAGCAGTGCTAATGCACTGGCTCTTCAATAACCATTGTGACAAAATAGATTAGTTTATTTACAGTGAGTCATAATTCAAGACAGCTGAAGTGTATGCATTAATATTTACAATTATAGAAAGAATCAGGTAATATATTGGATTACAACTACTGACGGACTCTCAAAGGGAGCTAGCATCAAGGCAAATACAGTATTTTCATTTTCAAGGTCTTTCTCATAATTTTAAGTTATAGTAGAACTTAATGTTTGCAAAAATGTCAGATTTACTTGGGACACTGACTTGAATTTCAATACTCTAGCTCAGCAACAAGGAGAAGGGAAAAATTAAGTGACTTAGCCACAAGCATAAACTACCAGCACATTTTGTCAAGTCTCTAGAGTTTGACACCATAGTTTCAATTCACTTCTGTCAGGTTCTACAGCTAAAATATGATATTTTAACATTCTTGTTACAGAACAAAATCATGGCTAATTGACTTCTTTTATAAGCTCATCAAACACTTGGTCAGAAAATGCAGAATACAGGGTCTACTGTTGTGAACATGTCTTACTTGAATTTCAGAACTTAGATAAATTCTCAAAGACTCTCTGGAAAAACTCACACAGAAAACACACTTTATGTGTGTTACAAAATCTTTCAGGCTCTTGAGGGTTTTTTGAGCAGTCACATCCTGTGGTTTTATGGCTCCGAGAGGTCACTATTTACTTCTGTCTTTTAAAGTGAGGGAAGTGATACACAAGTCCTAACAGAAGACTGGAATATGCAACATTTAAAATGATAAAAGAAGTACCCTTAATGAGACTCCTTTGCTGTAAAGTTCTTGTATTATAGTTACACATCTTATTTTGGGAGTTATCATCATCAGTTGCTTCACTCATACATGTAGGGTCTAGTTCTGCTACGAGAGTGGATAAACTTGAATTCAAAGTTTTATTCCTAGTGACACTTTTATCATAATGACTTCTGGCTGTGAAAATGAAGTAGAAATTTTTGAAATTAAAGAATTTTGAAGATGAATACCTACAAATACCTTATGTTCCACTACTATTAAAAGACAGTGGCTATGAAAATTAAGAAAGCAACTGCAAGAATTGAAGGCAAAGACTGACTAGGTAACTACTGAATGGGGAAGTTCAGAATTCAGTTTCTAAGAAAGCATTCCAAAAGACTCCAAGCATACCAAATAGAAAATACCTATTTTCTTTACGCTATTACTACCTGCTTGGAATTTTTAAAATTGCAATTGCATATTTTTAATTGTACTATTTATTACATTATTATTAAATATTATTTATCATCTTTTAAATTGCATTTTGTATGTTCAGAAGAACAGGAGTGATCAAACAGACACCAAGACCTAGAACTGCTGTTCAGAAGGCGTCAGTGTCGTTAGTTATGAGACTGACGGTTCTTAATGAAATGGATCTACTTTGCGTGCAGTTACTCATCTTGAAGATTATTCACAAACAATGATCTTATTACTTCATTTTGCGCCTACTACTACAGATAATTCATTACCACATATGGGACAGCTCATAGAAACAAGCAATACAGCCTGTGGGAAGTATTTACAGGATATTATTCCATTGTCTTCTGTAAAACATACCAGCACATCACATAACCTCACATAGCTTCTCCCTGTGATTGTTGTGTGATGTCTAAGCAAGAGCTGGGTATGCACATTTGAGTCTCAAATTCAGAATCAAGCAGATACAAGTCAAAGACAGCTCTATTTTGTGTAAGGAAAGTAGGTTACCTAGTTAACCGCATACAAATGAAGCCATTAAGTGAGCTGCCAGGTAGATTCTATGCACTGTAGATTTCAATAGGAAGTCTAGTAGTGAATGATCCACCCTACTCAGCTTCACAGAAATCTGTTTAGTGCTTTTTGTTTCTAAAGAATAATAATTTTTTGCTTCACTAATAGAGATACTGAGAATATTTCTACTTTCATCTCCTATCCTCCCACTCTGAAAGCTGTGTCACTGCATATTTGTCAAAGGATCCCTGTCACAGATGTTCTGGTTCTGCACTGACTTCTTATAAAGAGCATTCTTCCTGCAGACGTTCTTTAAATTATTTTATGTTCTTGTCATTTTTTCCTCACAACCAGATTTTCACAGTTCTTTCCAGACTTAGGTAGACACCAAATGAACACAAGAGTTGTTTTACACTGTGGAGACCTGAACCTGATTCCTTTGGGCTCAGTGAGAGCAGGATGGCAGCAAGAGTAGACTTGCACGTATCTGGTAAGAAAATTTTTTTTTTTTTTTTTTACACTGGATCATTTACCTTGTTCTCCATGACACTGTTAGATTGAACACGATGCAGCTCCTTAAGCTCCCCAGAGTTTCAAAAAAATAAACAGGGGTCAGAAAACCTTTTTCCTCTCCTTTTTAAAATATCAATAATGACACTTTTTGTAAACTATATATGGACCTATGTGTATTTATACAACTGTTAACACTTATATCTGACCACTTAATATTGTCCAGCAAAAAACTATAGTTAAAATACAAAGTCAAATTCTTAGAGCACTGCTGAATGTCTGTTACACCACTGTATTACATTAGTTACAAAAACCTCATATTTTTAGTAGGCACAGATCATTTGGTTTCAGCACCATTCCCTAAATGACATGCCCAACAAAACACTTGGGAAAAATAGGACACTTGCTCAAGCAAGTTAAATCAGGCAGTGTATAGAGAAGGCAGTGACTTACAACAGGATTGTTTTGTTGTCCAAATTAAAAAATAAAGGCATATTCATTGTGGCAGGGTGATGACTTCTGCAAATGCAGCCATATGAAAAACTACAATCAAAGACAACATACAGAACCCTTGTTGCAAGGACAGCTTGGATTCAGTCTGCCCATCAGAAAGGCTGTTCCTTTCAGTAAGGATTACTAAGGTTTTGCAGGACTCCATGCTTAATTTCACCACAGAGCACAATGAACAGCAAGGGACTGTGGACCTGAGTGCCTACTAACAAACTTTGTAGGAATGCATCAGACACTTTATCTAGAAAGCCCAGGATCAAGAAATGCCAGGAATAATGTTTTTTGACTTACAAAAGAACAGAAGTATTTTCTAATCATTCTTCTGATTCTGTACTAACCTGGGAGCATAGTGGCTTCAGAAACATGAAATAATATTTTGATAACCAAAGAAACTATTTCCACTTCAAGTTGTTAACTATAATCCTTTGCTATTCTAAGGCCATTTTTTCCTACGATGTATTTTGCCTCTTCTTTTAACCATTTGATCAGTAGCTTATGATAACCTATGCCTAAAATTATTCCTGTCAAATACTTTAATCTTTTTTTTCCACAGCCAAGCCCTTATCCCAATCCTTCTGATTTATACAAAAATAAACCAATTAGCCTCACTGAAGTTTAGCTGCCTAGACAGCCTTAGTTTTCTTCTAATGGGATCTCAGTTTCCTGTTTGCTGAATCCTCACCTTGCAGAAGCCAGAATATTTTGGTATATTTTCATCCTTTAAAAAACCTTTTTGATTTAGTATACATTTTAGTAAGTTTTAGTAGCAATTTCTGCCATTCCCCTCCTGCACACGAATGTGAGGTCTCACCTGACTTGTCGGAAGAATCATCAAACTCCACGTTGAAGGAGTGCCCGTTGTTGACGATGCTTCTGGCCGTGCTGGCATCATAGCTGAAGCTAAGAGGCTTCAGAGAGGAGTCGTACTTGGCGGACTTGCGGCAGATGTCAATGGGCGACTGGCGCTCTCCATTGGCGATGGGAAAGTGCTCATGCCAGTGAGCGGGTCCTGTAAGACAGCGAAACGCAACTCAGTGGGAAAAGACACAAAGTTAGGGGGATAAAAGCGACAACCCTCCTTCTGGAAATCGGGATGTTCGAACTATTTCGAACACCAGCATCAGCCTTTAACAGCATGCCACATGTGTGGGCTGGCGGCAGCGGCAGCAGGGGCGAGCGGGGGTCCCACCTGGGCACGGCGGCACCCGGCAGCCGCGCAGCCTCGGCGGGGGCTGTACCGGGGAGTCCTCGGGGACACCCCGTCCTGTGGGGGAGCGCCGCGTTCCCTTCCCCAAGTAAAGGAATGTGAGCAGGGAAGCAGGAGATGCTCCGGCACGGCGTGCGGAGCGCCGGACGCGCTGCCCGGGCGCAGGTGCATTTCAAGGTTACGAGGAAAAAGCGCCACGAGCTCGCTGCCGCTCCAGGCAAGGGCTCCGCGGGGCAGCAGCGGGCACGTCCCGGGCGCGGCTGCCGGCAGGTGTCCCGCACCGCCGGGCACTCACCGTCGTGGCTGCCGTATCCCCAGTGGTGGGACATGGTGCGCGGCCCT